CACTGCCACTCTAAGCCCTGCGACGTGGCCGGTGTGTTTGCCCTGATCCCTGCATAAAGGCAGGCAGGTGTGTGCCAGAATCCAGGCAGGAACAAACGAACAGGCACGATTGAATTGCAGCCAAACTCGAAAAGACATTTAACCTGCCGAATTGTTTCACTCAGGCAGGTGCCCCCAAGAAACCGGCAGTTCTTCAGCCATTTGCGAAATCCAGCAACTATTCATAAAATGTGTGAAAATGTACTTTAGAAAAGGTAATCTTGCTATATATGGCAAGGTAAGGGCAAACTTAAAGGATGAGTGTTTCCATTTTTTAACGTTTTACGTGCAGCCATCTGACCGCTTTTTATTGGGTGACATATCATATGAGCACTTTGGTGTAGGCTTGGGAAAACTACAGTCAGAGGCAAGGCTGAAAATGCCATAAGAATTAAGGGTGCCAAAAATGGATGCTGGATAGTCCAGTATGAAAGGTGGTATGTAGCTGTAGATTTTAAATGGGGGAAATATATGTGAATATTTATATAAGAAAGCTATTGGGGAGGGCTAAGTCTTGTCCTGGGTATCTGTGCAGGTAAGTCATTCATAAGAAAACTAATTACCTGTGCATGTACTTGGACTTGTTTAATTGGATAAGCTGCATGTGTTCGTATTTGTTGTTCTTTGTGGCTATGCAATTATAGATTCATCTTTTTAAAAATAATGGCTTGGAGGGAATTTTTAAAGTGGACTTCATACATATATATTGTTCAAAAGCCATTGTGCTGAATATAGATATATCACCAGAAAGGAAATGTTACTCTATAAATAAGATTACCATCGCTTGACATCTAACTCAAGGCCTGTATATTTTAGGGCAAATCAAATGGCTTAATATAGCCAAGTGTTTTGTTTATTTATTTTCATTTCAAAGTCAGGGATTAAGGACACTTTTCAATCAAGGTAATAGGCACCCCCCCACCCGCCATCCTAAGATAAAAATGACACTCAGTAAATTTTGAATGCAGCAGATAAGGTACAATGTACAACATGGTTGAAAATGTCTTCCTTGCAGAAGGCTGTCCATTGCTGTGTCTACACATTCTAAAATAGATTTTTTTGGCAATAAAAAAATGCTAGAAAGCAAGAGGACAGTGAATGCCGCACCTTTCAGTTAACCAGCACAGAAATTCTATAGAAATCTTCAGAGTCACTTTCCTTTATACACACATTATTTCAGATGCACTGGCCCAAGCTGTCTTTTTGTTAATATGAAGTTAATTAGACAATCAAACTTTGAGCCTTGAGCAATGGGCATTACAGCCCATCTAGGGTGTATGTCAGGAAAGGGAAAAAATGTGTCTTTTCTTTTATGACCAAACCAGGAGGTTATACAGCTGGCATTGCATACACGACAGATGTGCATATTTGGAGCCTTAAATGAACAGAAGCAGGGAGACAACTGTGCATATTATCCAGCAAGAGACAGTAGCAGATACTCGCTAAAAAATACAGACAGAGAGGGACAAGAGAAACAGATAGACATAATAAGATAGCAAAAAAAGGGAGGGGTATAATCAATAAAACGATACAATCGGAACTTTTCGCGAATTAAAAAATGCAAATATATCTTTACATATGCATCAGTATTAAAAATAATACACGCTGGAACCAACAGGAGCGGGAGCAGGAGGAGGAGGTGGAGGAGGAGAGGTGGAGGAGGAGGAGAGGAGGAGGAGGAGGAGAAAGAATGGAGGCGCCGCGGAGCCCTGATTATGCATGGGCTGGAGCTGCCTCCTCTAACCTGTTCTTCTCCGAGCCGGGCAGCCGGCGGTCCTCAGCCGCCCACAGAACAGGAACCGAAACAACCGTTCCCGAAGACTACAGCGTTTATTTTTCTCTTTTGGGGGTTTTGGCGGTTGTTTCATGGGCTCGCCAACTGGCCCCTTTAATTAAAAGCTTCAATAAAAGGCGATCGCGCCAGGAATTCACCGGCTCCTCTTCGCGCAGGATTTGCATATTTTTTTAATGCCCTAATTTCCTTGATGTATGTAAATGTAGCCGGACGTAGTGGGAGACGGGGAGCTGACGTCAATGGACGTGACCTCGCAGCTAAACCTTGAACGTGAAGCCGGGATGGGGGAAAACACGGAGCGGCAGCCGACGGAGCCCGCTAGTGCGGGCAGGGGCAACGGCGGGGGCCGAGCCCAGGCCTGCAGGGGCTGAGGGGTCCTTGCCAGCCCCAGGGGAGGACGCGCAGCCACCTTCTCTCTCCACTGCCCGGCTCCCAGCCTCGCCAGCCTTCCGGCGCGCTCGCAGGCTCTGGTCCTGAACCTCCAGCCCCGTAAATACACGTTGTTTTGCTTCCCTCAGAAAACCAACACACCCAAAAAGCAACAAACCAAAGACAACAGATAAACCAAAGCCAGTTCCCAAATGTTTTAGACCAATGCTCGGGTAGCTTATCAGAAAGAAGACTGACAATGGAACATAATTTTTTTTTTTTTTTTACTTCTCTCCACAAGAAGAGGAGGGGAGACCTCAGACAACAGAAAATCACTCCTAAAACACGATAAGCTACACGTGTTTCCAGTAGGGAGAGGTAAATCGCCCAGTCGATTGGTGGGGGCTTCTCGTTTGGGTACCTGTTTACCTGTGCAATCATTATGCACGTTGGCTTCAATAACAGCCATGCCACTAGCATGCTTTTTAATGTGATGGGAGTGTCTCGTGTGTGTGTGTGTGTGTGTGTGTGTGTGTGTGTGTGTGTGTGTGTGTGTGGGAGGTGCTGGGGCTGGTGAGCACCGAGGCAGGCGCTGTGAGTCAGATGAGATAGGTCTGTGTCTCTCCACGGCCACCTCTGGGACTTATCTGCAGGGACATGTAGGCCAGACAGAGCTGCTGGGCAGGAGTTCGAGTTTCACCCACTTGAAAGAGGTGCTGGTGGTGATGGTGGCGCGGTTGTCGGAGGAGGTTCTCTCTTAAACAGCCAGGCCCTACGGATTACATTGTTTAGGGAGGGGTTCTTGAGGTGCGAACCGTTGCGCTGCCGCTGCCTCCGGCGATGCCTGGCCGGATTTAGCCTGGTGTGTCTCTCACTTGGAGCTCTGCAACCCCGGTGAGGAGGTAGCGTCTCTTCCTTACCCGGCAGGGAGGCATTCAGACACCCGCCCCCCCTCCCCACGGAGCCTTGCAGGCCAGCTTGTGCGTGTCCACGCACTGGGCAAGGGGCTGCTGGCAACTCCCTGTGCGCATCTGCTTCCGCCTCTGCTGACCACCCTCTGCCAGGCAGCTAAGAAATGGTCCTTGGCTTCTTCTGGACCGGGGCCCGTGCAGAGCTGGTGGCGGAGGGCAGAGCCAAAGGCTGGCAAGCAAGGGGCTCCGGAAGCCGCGGTCTTCGCTTCTCAATGCTGCCCTTGGCCGCCAAGGCTGCGGTTTCTTCGTTCCACCTCTCAGCCCTAGCTTTGTTTTCCTGACATGCTCGTGGCCACTGGGCCCCACGCCTGCGAGGGGAATGTGTGCGTGTGCACGGGGGGCGGGCGCGCGCGGCGGGCGGGGGCCCTCCCGCCAAGGACACGCCTGGCTGTCTGTCCTCCGGCTGCACTTGGCGGGAAAGCTGGGGGCCGCCAGCCGGGCTGCAAGCTCCCGGCTCTTATTACCCCCTCCCTGCTCCCCGCAGGCATCATTTACATACGGGCCACCCGTCAGAATTTTTACAACCCCCCCTCCCGCCTCTCGTCGCACGCGCGCAGGCTCGAAACAAGCGCCCGCGCGCGCAGACCTCGGTGCCCAGGCTGCGGCTTGCCAGGGCGCGCAAACAGGCCCAGGGGTACAAGCAGCCCTCAGCAAAAAGGATTCTTGCACCCTCCCTCTTGCGCCTACATCCCTGACAGCCTTCCCGATCGTGTTTCAGGAAGCCCACCTTCCCCACCAAACCCCCACCCTTCTCTCACTGCCTACTCCCACTCAAACCCTCCACATCTCTCTGCCTCTTTCCCTGAAACACACGCACACACACACGCTTTTTTCTTCCCACTCAAATAGATAATCCCTATGGCGAGTCCCTGGTATCTTTGAATAGCTCTGGAGTTTAAAGAATAACAATCCTCATAATGTATTTCTTGTAATTAGCCAAACACATTAACGAGCACTACAGAAAGAAGGGGAGGAGGAAGGGGGACTTGAACCAAAAGACCTTTCTTTAAGGAAAAAAAAAGTCTGCAAGTCAAAAGGTCATTCTCCAAGTTTGTAAATAAAATAGCAAAAGGAGTCTTAAAAAGAAAGAGAGTAAAGAAGAAAGGTAGAGAAGATCCACAAGTTACATAAAATGGTGCATTGGAAAAATAAAACAGGACTGCTTTTGAGAGAGAGAGAGAAATCAAGGGGAAAAAAGAAAAAGAGGGAGAAGAAAATAAAAGGTAGAAAAGGCAAAAGAAGTTTCCAAAGAAATGTGTGCTGTGCATCCTACAATAGGAAAATGTAGCCATTGCCCTCCTTCAGACGAGACATTTCTAATTTGTTCCGTCTGTCAGGAGGGGACTATGAGAGGTTTGGGTGCAAATTCATTATCTCTGGCAACGCAGAACGTAGTGTGGGGACTGAAAAAGACCGTGGCAATGGATGAACAATAGGGCTTCAGTTCATCAGTAACAAAAGCAGTGGGGAAATTGGTTGAGTTTCAGAGCACGTCCTCCTCGGCAGAGGGGGCTGGACTAGACCTTGGACAGCCCCCCCAAAAACTTGCCGAGCCTCGCACACACCACTTCACTCTCCACTCCGAAGCTCAAGGAGCAAGTGCCTGGCGTGGGGGGGAAAAGTTGGCTTTTTTTCTTTCTTCGTCTTTTGCGCCCTTCTCTCCTTCCCCAGAAGGGAAGGTCTCTTCAAACTATTTTAGACCCAATCAAGCAAGAATCACCGTGTGGAATTGAGCGGCAGTTTTAAATGTGCTAAGGAGAGGGATAGTCTGAATTTTTTTTTTCTTTTTTCTTTCTTTTTTTTTTTTTTTTTTTTGAGACGCCGAAAGGAGCCTGGTTGTGTAACTGCGGCCACCCTGTGACTGGATCTTGTCTTCTGGCCCGCGCTTTTGGATTTGGGGGCAACACTGCCTCGCTCAGGAGCAGAGCACAAGTGAGTACAGTGGCGGGCCGCAGGCGGCAACTCGGCCGGCGGCGCTGGGCCCTCCCTGGCCGCCGCAGCCCCGCTCCCGCGCTCCTGACCTCGCCGCGAGCCGGTGCCTGCAGCGACGCGCTGCAGGTCGCTCCGAGGGCCAGTCCCGGGTTTGCTTCAGCTAATGATTGTGTGTCTTGGATTCTAAACCTGTTGATCTCATGAATTGTCTAAGCCAAGACTGTTAATTATCCAGCGGCCTGACTCCCCATTGCAAAGAGAAGCCAGGAAAATTTCGTGCTGGGAAGGGAAATTTTGTATGTAATTTTGTCTTGGTGGTGGTGGGAATTTTCCTTCTTAAACCTAGAGCCAAATACGGTTGTATTTTGCATTCCTGGATTCAGGATTTGTATTTTGAAAAATTCCTTTAACCCCCTCAAAGTTGCAATTACCTGGCAATGAAGAGAGGGTCTGATAGGATTTTGGTGGAAACTTATACACAGTAGCTAACTAGACCTGGTGGATTTCCACTTCCTTCTCTTTGCTTTTTGGTTTCTGCGAGGCAAGAGGACGCTTTGCAGGGTTATCCCAAGTTCAGATTTATCACGATGCAACCACCGCAGTCAGTTATTGGGACTTCGAGCTCCTGGCATCCGAGCGGAGGCCAGTCTCTGCGGTTTGCTGGAAGCCCAGACTCTGCTGAGGGACGCAAGATCGTCCTTCCGCGGCCTGGAATTGTCTGAGGAAACCCGGGGCAGTGGGAACCCAGGCAATGCATTTGCATTAGAGTCTGTGGCGTTTTTCTCTTGCAAGGTACCTGCGGTGCTTGAATGGAGGACTGTCTTTAGGGGTCAGGGCAGCAATGGAATTGATCAGAAGTTAGACCGCAGGCCCTGTCAAGTCACGGCCACGGCCGGGGGCTCTTCTGGAGCACGGCTGCCATGGGACCAGAACAGTGGGGTTGGATCCGGCTTCCTCCCTCTCCTGATGCCCACCTCTGCCCACCACCCTCTTTCTCCACCTTGGCACCAGTAATTAGGACGCTGTCTCAGGATACAAGCTCCCATAGTCAGGATAATTGAACCAGTGCAGTACTTTCATTTTGCAAAACCAATAGCCCCACCCTGCCACTTCAAAATAACAATAAGCATTTTAAAAAATCATAAAAGAAAAGCAACCTATTTCCAGGAGCGTAAGACTTCTTGAATAGATTGAACCATGAGGGGTGGGGGAAGGGAATAAAAAATCCACCACTTTAGAGCAATCAGGTTTTACATTATTCATTGATTTACTGGAGGAAATAGCCAATCAGGAGCCATAGATATGAATGCACATCTCACCGTGCTGTGGCCTTACAGTAAACTATTTGCATCTTTCTAATGGATTAGATATTTACCCAGGGATTCCCATTGTTTGAAAGGCCTGGAAATTCAGTCCCTTAAACATTTAGAAAATACGACTTTGTTCCAGTCTTGAAATTCTTTCAGAGAAGAACTCTCCCTCCTCTTTTGTATGGCAGGTTACAATGTTCAAATCCCTACTATTTCTTGAGTCCTTCTTCCTTCCAAGCTAAAAATAAAAGAAGAAAAATTAATTTCCAAATCCCTCCAAGATTCTGCATATTTTGCATTCCCATTATCATGCGAGTCTCCATTTAAATGCAAATTAGCATATTTAACTCTGTAGGTGCCAAAGCCCAGGATACCTTGCACTGGGGTTTTCTGGAATCTCAGCATTTTAAGGAATCGTTGCAATTGCAATACTTTAAATGAAGCCAAATGTATACATGCACAAATATATATATTTATATTAAAATTATGATCATGTTTTCTTGACTGTTTTTCAGATGACTACAGAGAAGCAAAAAATGAATAGACAACCCCACCAACCAAAGGTAATTTTAAAATCTACATTTTACAAAATTAAAGTGATGTACAGAATCAAAATAGAATATTATTTACTGGGTGGCAGGTCTGCAGTGTATCTCCTATCTCACAGTTCATGCAATAGATACAATTCCAGAAAAATCGAAGTTTTCATATGTGCAGTTTTTACTCATAGGTAGCTTTTTTATCTAAGATATTAAAGATAATGTAAACATAACCTGTAACTGCCTATAAAAAAGAAATTGGGGACACAGGATAAATAATAGGACACTTGTTACTAGAAAGCAAGCCAGTCAAGTACTTTGCCTGAACTATACAATTCACTGTAAATTAAATAAGTTTTATGTAGAAAATGGTAGTCTTGACTGTATTAGTGGACTGTGGTTTACATGCATGAGAATCATATAAACTCAATATTAAAAAGAATTTTGGTGATAGGCCAATTCTTTATATACTCTGCAATAGTCTGAATAGGATTCATAGAGGTGTTCTAAATATTAGTGGCAAACCTGATGTATTTGCTTTTATGGAATAGCATAATTCTGATAGAAATATGTGGAAATTCATAACTTTTCACTTTTAACTTAAGCAGAGACTGTTTATTCCCAAGAAAACCAGGATGTTTCAATTCATGTTTCAGCCATCTAGAAACCTATAAAAAGATCTTTTAAAAAGCATGACAATCATGTCCTAGTCTACTGGCCATTAATGGGAATTTATTAGAGAATAAGCAGGCAAGCCATTTGAATTCAGTATATTCTTCAATATGCAGATTTCAAAAAAAAAAGATATTCTATAGCTCAGCTAAATAGCTTTTTGAAAAGCAGAAAATATCTGGAATAAGAACCCGTAGGTATTAATAGTTGCTCCTAACAATGTATTATAGACATTGTTAGGAATCTTTAGAGCACAATTGTTTCAATTTGTCTCACATATATATTTCAACTTGTCCTTTAAATGTGTATGATAAACCATGATATGAACACTGGCAATATTAAATAATAAGGTGCTCAGTGTTAAATCTTGCTATATATCTTTTTCTTCTCTGAATTTTGAAAGATGATGGAGAGGTACAATATTTAATTGACTGCCCATAACCATTATATTGGCTATTTTCACTTTTCAAGGCTCTCATAATGAATCTACAGTACATGTAACAGGCATGGAGGCCAGTCCTGGAGTCAGTTGATATGACTGTGTGGTATTGCCTTAGAAGATGCTATCTTAAGACAGTACCTTATGTATCTTCTAATTGTAGAAGCATCTCAAATGGTCAGTGTCGTGACTTTCATGATAGTTACTTATGTTCTAAAAATGCATTTGATTGTTCACTGTGGAAACATAGCAGCATTAATTTGCAAATTCACACAAATATGGAGGTGATACACATGCATTCATGTATCACATCTCTTTATTTTCACCAGCCCCCATCCAAACATACATAGAGCAAAAGATATTCTAAAAATATCTGGCATATCCTGGGGTTTTGACTTGAGGAATTGAATTTATCTGGTCATATGCTTGCTCTATGTAGTAGATGCCAGTTCACCAATGATTCTGCTTCTAGGGCTTGGAAAGCAAGTCTAAAATAATCTCAGTCTTCCAGGGCAGAAAAGCTCATTGGGTTTTTACATAATGTCAAAAATGGCACGTGCTTCAGTGATGTGTTCAGTTCTTGCCCAGTACCTTATGCTATCACCTCTTAGTGCAAGAAAAAACAGTGACTCTATAGGAGTATATTTCTATGAATTAGTTTATAGTTTGCAATATACATACATATATTCCAATGCAGCCATTTCTGATTGTACATCCTGGGTCAAAATTTGATAAGAAAAATAGATGAGCATTTCCTTAGTGTAGGTTTTTTTTTCCCCAGTAACCAGAATAAGAATGCTCATCAAAAAGTAAATTAATAAAATATTTAGGGAAAAGTTGGCATTCATGTTACTGAACCATATCTTTAATTGGTGTAATATTGCTGTTTGTACTCTTATTTGGAGGCTTTTGTAGCAATTCTGATTTTCTTTACTTATCAGTCTTTTCTATAGGATTTATATATGTGTACTCTGTATGTAATTTGGTAAGCATATTCTCACTCATGTCATGAATTAATAAATTAGTGACTCAATGAAAGAGTTCATTTTAATTCTGAAAGTGTTTTAGTCATTGGAGAAAATAGTTATTCTATAGAAATGAGAGTATTGTGATAAACTAGTGATGTGTGAAATGAATATGAAGATTTATGACATTGGCTTATATCATATATTTTAAAGAATAGTAATAACACCAACATAATTCATAATTTTGGGAAATAGTCCATAAAGTTTGCCCATCGACTGTGCCTTAGGTGTTCTGTTGAGGGGCATCTGACTGTTAGAACTGTACATGTTATAGACACACTAGACAGAGATTACTCATTGTGAAGAAGAGAGCTCTTTTAAGTGATCATATTTACACTCTGAAAAGTGCTAAGAAAAGGAATGTTGCTAATTAATCCATAAAACAGTATTCCCCCGAAGACAGGAGGGTGAGGGTAGGGAAGATAAGGGCAGAGTTCTGCTCTTACCATTCAAGTGTTTATGTCTTTCTCATGTCTTTTTTCATAATTTCATAAGGAAGCTTAGTGCATTTTGACCTTCTGTGTGAAAATTGATGTTTGAAACTATAGACAAAGGCTCAACATTTATTACAGTGGAGTTGTGTACAACATTAGAAACTATTGCTGCCGTGTTTACCTGTGCTTCATTCTAAGGCACACACCTTACAGAGAGAGTTATTTTTTTTAAAAATCGGGATGAAGTCGGCTTGCTTACAGCATGCATTTTGAACTTACAGAACAAAATACACTACCCTATCACCATGATACATAGATACAAAACATGACTGAGCTGTGAAGCCATTAAAAACACACCACCAGAGCAATGTAATCACACATCGACTCACTGCGTAATGCAGAGCGGATTCCCAGCCCCAGAAAGCAAGGCCCTGCTTTAAGCAATAGCAAAGTGCCTTCCATCTGTCTGCCCATGCAATCTGCCAGAAGAGAAATTCAGGCAAAGACGTCCCCCAGATCTGAAATGCTTTTATCTGTCCTTAGAGAGAGATTTCTTCCAGTCTTTGGATATTAGAGCGATCTACACTAGCACCAAGAAGGTAAAAGGCGGCGGGTAGCTCTTCCAGGAGCAGTCGGTAGTGGTAGCGGAAGAGATGTTGATTGAGAAAATAAGGCTTATTGCAGTGCTGCCGCTGCTGCTGCTGCCTCTGCCGCTGCTCAGGCAGCGGGCCTGGGGCAGTTGGCTGATCACTGATGCATATCAATAACCGTGTACTTGAGATTTCTCATGACATCATCATTACCTTGGTCTCCCGCGGTCTCGAACCTTTGACCTTGCCGGGCTGGTCCACATTTTGGCAGTGAAAGCCCTTCCAATGATGGCCCTTTTCTCCTTCTTTCAGACCGGGGGCAGCAGCACGCCAGCAAGAAGGCATCTTCTCTTTCCCAGCCTAGAAGCCCTGTGAAATCGAGGATCTTCCCCCTAAAACACACACACACGAGATATTGCAATCAAGCTGCCACTGCTTGGTAAAAAGCTCATGGTGCCTAACCAAAAAGGATCAGGAGCAGATCCTTGAATCAGCTGTCACTTCTATAGAATGGGATTTTTTTTCTTCCTCCTTAACCTGCACTGGAAATTGCCGTTGGCTTCATACATCTCCATAGAGGGAGGCTAAGGAGTCTTGCGTGAGAATGAAGCAATTTACAATGCAAATAGAGGCTTCTGAAGGGACGGATACTGCTGCTCACTCATAACCGCTTGCTGCACCTTAATAGCTGGTTTTATTTTCTGATATTAATAGATGAATTGTTGGCTAACGCTGCCGGAGATTACTTGCTGAAAGGGGGAAAAAAGTTCGGAATAAACTCTCAAAGCAACAGATCTCGTTTGGATGTTTTAGCCGCACACACAAACAGAAACCAGGTCTTATTTACATACAAGGAGGAATCTTAAGCGCCTGCAAGTGTCCTGGAGGACTGCTCTTCGGTACTGCCGGAAAGACCGGGATCTGGATGCAGGCCAGAGGAAGACAGAGGAATGTGAGGGAAGCGAGTTGTTATCTTTGGTTATCTAGCTGTATGAGTGTATTGGTCTTCATAAAGCTAGATAACCGAAAGTAAAAACTCCTTCAAGATCGCCGGGGAGCATGTGAGAATGAAAGACTACAACCAAGAGACAGTAAAAACCAGAAAGGTCAGGAATACTTATTGAATCTAACTTTGTTTCGTTTTTGTTTTCCTTATGATTAAAGGTTGGATTAGAGGAAATTAAGTGACATACATATGCCAAAAATAAAGGTGCCAGGTCTTTTGAGAGGGGTTGTTACAAGGGAGAATTGTATAGTGCTAATGAGTTAAGAGGCATGCTCAGTCTGTCCTACTTAAAAGCAAAAGTTTAAATATGAGGTCCCCCCCCTTTTTTAGAAGGCTGTTGTAGAGATGACCGATACCTAATTTTAAAATGATTTTATATTATGTAGATGTAGACTGTTCTCTTCTGAGGCATCCTCCTCTGATAAATTTTAAATTTTGCTTGGAAACTGCATGTATTTGGGGTGTATATCAGATTATATGACACTGGACTATCAGAAAAGTTTATACTGGAAGGTTAGTATTTTGTGTCTACTGAGGACATACTGCTAGTAGGGAAATGCAAAAAAAATAAAAAGCAGAGGCTGATTTTTATTCTTCTATTCAAAATACAAGGACAGATGCTTCTCTGTTCTAAGAGGGTTTCCTTGAGGAAGCTATTGAAGCAGAAAGACATGATGGAGACGAGATCGCCTCCCCTCTTGTCAAAGTGTTAAAAAAATGTTCTGTCTTACTCTGGGCCTAGCATTGGAAATGAAAGTGACATTTACGCCACAACCCACGTGTGCGCCTCCTCTCTTTTTGTTTAAGGATGATCAGGTCTATCCAGGAAACAGCTCTGGCATCCCAAACTGAAATAATTAGGACGTATATAGACCTGACAAAAATGGAAAGGGGGTGGGGAATCTGAGGGTCTGTCTTGCCTAATTGATTCCGCTAAACGGAATGCAGGAGATGTGAACGGCAGGACGCTCTGATTCCCACGCTCGGGGGCAAGTGGTAAAGCGGGGCGGGCAGCCTATGACAGACAGCCCTGTTGGGGGGGGTATGAAAAAAACATCAAGTACACACCATACTCATCTCCATCGCTTAAGAAAGTAGAGGCATTTCCCACCCACAGCCATCTGCAGCCTCCCAAATGGAAGCACGGACTGGTCTGTAGCTGCTGCATGCTGTCTGTTTCTGTGAATTTTATAACCACTGTGTAATCTGGCCACAATTAAGTTCGGCTCCCTTCTTTGGTTGAGATTTTCCATATTTAAGGAAAGCAGTTCCGAGAAAGCACCAATCCTGCCCGTTCCTCATGTCAGATTCTCAGTCCATACTTTTGGCCTTGTGATCACCTTTTGGCTTTTATTTTGGATGAGTAATATTAAAAGTACCTATCTTTATATAACAGACATTATCATCACTTCATCAAAGTGTTTACCTCTTACATAACAATTATAGAAACTTAGCCTAATTATGCTAGTTGACACACTGGAAGTAAAACTATAAAATCATCAACCTGTAGAAAGTTGATTACAGTAACAATATGATAAAAGGTTGTTTTGGTGTAGTCTCAGCTAGAAACGTTCTAAACAGCCATTTTTATTTAATCTAAAAGTGACTATGCTTAACCAAAACTTTGACTCTTTGAAGGCCCCTGTAGTAATCTTTTTGTAAATATCTTCACATTTGCCCACATGTCACCAGGCAAACATCTGTACAGGCATTTAAACACAAATTCAAACGTTGCAATAAGAAAATGCCCCAAATCCACATGGCCTAGATGGCTGACAACCCCAGTCCCAACTCTGCAACTCTTCTTCAAAAGCACTACACTTTCCTTTGTAGCTTCATCGTCTTTTAGGACTTCAGGCTGGAGAAGCCTGTGAAACCCCTGATAGTTTCGGTTAGAAACTCCCAGAGACTGTGTTAACCTAAATTCTCAATTTGGCCGAGGAACACGTGCCAAAGTTTTACTACTGTAGTGACCGTTGAGAAGACCCTTGTTTATTTACATTTGAAGCACTGTTTGTGCAAACAACCTTTCATTGTTAAGTGCCTGTATTCCTTTCATTTACTTCATGTCCAGGGGTGCTATTTACCTAGACCCATTGTCTACTACAATTAACATTTACATTACAAAGTGTGTGGTTTTCTTTCTCAAGGAGGTTCAATTAAGGCAATAAGATGTTTGCTGGGGAAACCTATTGTTTACTGAAAGCACTCAATGGAGTCAAATTACTGAAGCTTTTGCCTACATCTCGGTCTTTTATGTAAATATGTTAACTATAACATATAAGTAAAATAAATAATATTATAATTATGTGTTTGCCATTGTCATATCAAACTTGCTTTGTATCATACTAATGTTACATGACTTATCGATCAATAAAAATGCATTTCAATGTTATTATTTTCATTTTATTTTTTGCTGTTCCACTGCTCTTGCTGCAACATGTCCCAACTTTTCTTTTTTCTATTACACATCAAACTTTTGACATTTTGTTTTATTTGTGTGTGTTTAAGAGAGGTACTGTATCTGACCGTGGGTCTGAAGGGTGTGTGAGGTAATCCCTGCAATGACCTTATAATAAGGTGATATTTCTTTGAAATCTGAAATATTCCAAAAGCATGTACATTTAAGTCAAAAGAAGTGTAAATATCAGTTAAGTAGTTCTTTGAAAGCTAGTTTTAACATTGGCAGAAACCGGATCAAGTTTATTTAGCATGCCACTGCATTGTAAAACAGTTGGAGTGAAGTTGCAGGTTGCGTGAGTATGCATGTTAACTAGTGGGAACCAAGTGCAGTCTTTGTGAAAGGGTAGCAGCAGATTGCTTGTGCAAGGCCAATGTTAAAAAGGCAGCTGAATTTAACACCATCTGGAAGAAAAGATCCCTTCACGACTTTCTCACACCGTCAGACAAAACTAGTGTCTCTTGTTCCGAGCTCTTGTCTATGCAACCATACAATACTGAGTCATTATACTTTTGCTGAGAGAAAATTTGAGAACACAATATGGGTAACCAGTGAATGACCAAGTTTCATTGTGCCCGCTTAAGTCGATTGAAATCTACGTCTAGAGCTATGAATGGTAGTATTGTTTTCCTCACCAGGGCTGTACTAAATGTCAGCACAGTGTAAAGAAAAACTTGAAGTCTGCAAATAACTTACCAGATCTCAATTATAATATTTTCCCACACTAGAACTAATATCATTGCGAGGGGCTACATTGCAGAAAATACAAAAAGAAGCAAAAAGAAATAGAGAGTTCATTTAGAAGTTATTTTATCCAGACAAACATTTTAATTTTCTGATGGAAACTACAATTCAGGCTGCAGGGTGGGTTGAGAAGTGGAATTAATTACTGGGAAGTTCAAGTTACAAAAATGCCTCAAAACAAACAACTGGTTCCACCTTAAATCCTCCTTTCTTAAATATAAAGAGACTCTGCTTGTGTTGTATTGCTTTAATGCTGCTTAGAATGTTTACTACAGATCTAGCTTAAATTTTGCTTTAAATATTGGCAGACACTGCTCTTTCAAAGTTTGCCAGTATGATTGACATTGCAAAAGAACATCGTACATGTACATTTCTAAAAATATACAACATTCTGGCACCTGATACGTGGATTCTGATGCCCCTAGGAATACTCCTCCTTTTATATTACACCCTCTCCTCATTTCCTAACTTTTCTCATGATGTGTGTGAATCAGTTATTATGCTTAGGTTTAACATTCACAATAATCTATTTGACTCTAAACAGTCAGATAAAGGAAACAAAACAGTTCAAAAAGAGTAAAAAGAGTTGGTTGTGTCTGTTTTATTAGGATGTCTATTTTAAATATAATTGACTTTGCAATTTTGTTATTGTGTCACCAAGTGTCGCGTAGTTCTTAACATGTAAGTGCAAAACAATGAGTAATTGCTGTTTTGCTGAATAATACATTCGAGTTGCCAACGTCAAAGGTATTATTTTGTGTATTTCTAAACAGAAATGTTAACTGCAGGTTTTGACATCTAGAATCTTTTCATGAAATACTTAGAAATAGGCCAATAAAATGACACCTGTAAAAGTAAATATAAAGATATAACCAACTTATTTTCCTTGTCCTACTTTGTACCAGAAAATTAACAATGAAAAGTCACTCAGTAATAGAATTATAAAGGATCTAACATAAAAAACCACAGTCATACAGAAAATTCAAAAAAAACAAAAATAAAAATTGGTAGGGGACTAAATGGTAATGGGAAAAATACAACAAAAATTAAATTTAAAAAAAAGTAAATAAAACAATGGAAATTGGAAGAGGCAAAAGAGACATATAAGAAAACTTCTGCAGCATCCTTGTATGATGTGAATGGATGTATTCACCAGTATCAGCCCCCTAGTAAAGTTACCATTAATGTATGTGGTAATGAGATAAATTTATTATTCACATTCAAACTAACTTTTCCCAAAGTGGTTTTTCTTTAAGTCTTCAACACTAAATTTCTACTGCTAGTATTCTGTTTATTTTTTAAATTAAAATAATTTTCTCACTTGGAAAAATAGTAAATTCTAATTAGATTTTGCATAGTTTTTAATGAAAATTAAGGAACCACTTAAATAATAAGTAATAGATAAGGATGAGTACATTTCAAGTTCATAGGTGGCCTTTCTATTCACAGACTATATATATATCAGTTCAAGCCAGTTTCGCATTTTAAGATTTTGACTTTTTTTAAGTGGAGAGATAAAGCCAAAAGTTTTGTTTTCTAATATAGCCAGAAAATGTATGAAAGAGTTATAGGTAGTATAGCTATCTATCTAGTTACCCCCACCCCTAGGATCTGTATCTCTGGAAATGCCATTGTGGCTTAAGAATATTGATACCCTTTTTCCAGTCTGTCTTTCTATGACTTAGCTTTTCCCTAATTAGTTAGAGTAAGTAAAACTCATCATAATATGATGCATTTGGATAGGTGCTGCAGGTAGATGGTAGGATGGGCAACATGAGACAGGGCGTCTTTTAAAAGTTACTGGGTAAAAAAACAGCCGTAATACTGGCAAATTAGTTAAATACTAGTACTTCAGACAGTTAAACATATTAGTACTTTCCACAGTAATGGAGCATGTAAGGTAGTTCTTCAGTGTCTCCAGATTTTAATGGACAACTTTGTTATCCTGTTTTTGTGCTCATTGGTATCTTAACACAAGTTAACCTAGTACAGAAATCAGCAGAAATATTCATTCCCGTTTGAGAATTGTTCGACCTCCTAATTTTGGAATTAATTCTAAAGACCATGAATGGAAATGAGAAGTATATAGTTTTGACTGCTGCTAAGGAATATCTGCCTTTAATCAGAACCTCGAGAGTTAGTGCACTTCTTGGAAAGGTGATGACCTCTTTGAGGTAGGAGTTTATGGCTTTCTGCTTTACAGCCAGCTGTCAGGCCACAGGGGTAGGACTTTGAAAAGTGAAGATAATCGACTTTATTCGGGGAAATATGGAGTTCTGGGCTATATTTGTTCAAAGAGAAGCACGTCACTGTATTTGGTGGTTTGACTGGGTTTTAGCTGAGCTCTGGCACAACGTAGTCTTGATATCTAAAAATAGCCTGGCTCAGCAGCTGCATTGCAAGGTGCTTGAGGTGGGCGGTGCAGGGAGGAGACAGCCTATTCTGTGACTGGCTGGAGAAGTCGCTGGGCTAGGCAACAGCAGCAGCGAAGGCCGCCGGTGAGCCGCAGGGGCAGCAGTACGCCTCCCGCTGACCGCCTACAGCCTAAGTCCTCCTTCAGCTATGGCTGTTCACCGCCCTTTCCTGAAAGCGGGCGTCTGATTGGTGTTTCCCGGGAGACCGGCGTCCAGAGCTGCTGGAGCGGCGAGTGCTGGTGCGCCGGCGCGCGCGCTCCCGGGGCTGGCACGCGCTCCGGGCTGGTGCGCGCGGCGGTGCGCTCAGGGGCGCGCTTGAGGCGCTAGCGGCAGGCTGGGGTCCTCCCAAGTTCGCGTGAGCTTAAATTCCCCAGCCCGCCTTCCACCGCTTAGAGGTCGGTGGGCGCAGGTGCCGCGGGACCCCCGCAGAGTAAGGCTACCAGCCTCCCTCTGTCTAGCAGGCTGAGTTGCCTCCGCGGAGGCTGTTCTGTGTGTGTGTGTTTTTTTTAATTTGCCTGCCCTTCGGCCCAGCACCAGCCACTTCGGTCCTGCCTCTGTGTCTTCTCGGGATGGAGGTAGCTTCGGAGTTGGGACTGTGGACCGGAGTGGCGTCGGAGTTTAGTCACGCCGGGACGTCTGTTGGAGGCATGCATCTCGCAGCAGCCGCCCACTGCCCAGGGCCCCTTCTTTAGGCTAGAAGGCAACTGGGATTAAGGGACTTGCTTTTGCTGGCACTCAGTTTTTCTAGTTCTGCCCAGGCATCTTCTCTGAGTATGGTCAGTGTCACTGGTAAAGATGTTGTGTGCTCCTCCCCCCCCCCCAATATTTTTTAACTCAGTGAAAAGCTGCTAAAGCAAAGTACCTCTGTCTCGCCCCCCACCCTGCCCCCCATTCGCCGGGAAGGTCCTGGGGGAGAAAGTTTTGTGAACCCAGAGCTTGGGTTGGTGAGCGCGCTCAGCTCTGGGCCCTTTGCTGAATCAACTAACACCTCTACCCCCATTGCCTACTAGGGACTCTGGGAGTATCTTCCCCTTATCAGATTTGCTGGAAATATTAATTTCCTTGCTGGGTGGATACAGTAGAACTTGTTCAGAGATTACTTTAAAAAGAGATCCGGGTCTTAAGCACTTACTAAAGCCAGTTAATAACATCATGCATGGACATTTAAACTTGTTGTAAGTTGCAGAGAGGATTAGTGGGATGTCACGCTGTGCGCAGCTAATGATACCATCTTAACTCTAACCGGTCTAAATCCACCTCGCCCGGCGCAGGTCTGGCTCTGCGGCCCTCAAGTGAGTCTGGGGAAGAGGAGGGTCTTGGAGGAGCTCAAGGAGTTCGGAAACTGGAGTAGCGGCACTAGTCCTTCCTTTGAGAGATGGTCACTCGCGTCCCTGGAGTCTGCGGGGTTTCTCCTGCTGAGTGGTCATCAGCACCCGGATGAGGGCCCAGTACACGAACCTACCACAGCTGACGGGCTGTGCTTTCGTGACACAGAGAAGGGCACTTACCTGCATGTTAAAACTGGTTTAATTCCAATAACCAAGAAGGGGGGTGCGCCAAGGTCTGTTGCAAACTTAGATGTAGTTGTGGGATTCCAAAGTTATTGGCTTTTTGCTGCTGATCGATTTGCATTACAAAGGCTGTTACTTTCCATTCTTCTTTTTCAAAAG